CCGAATAATGTGGAAGTTTAGGAGGTGGCTATATAGTGACATTTGCCACAGACACGAGCTATACAAATGCAAATGTAATCTGCCTGTCCTCCTTGAGATCCTAATTGTTTGCAGCTGCACTCCAATCTTTGGGATAAAAGCAGTATTTGCTTCTATTGGAGTCTGCTCTGACTGGAGAACACTCTCTCATGAAGGCATATCATTTAACCATTTCTGGCGCGGAGGAAAACAGATCAGTGTCAACACCAGACGACTGCACACTAATCCAGGCATTAGACTGAAGGTCATCTGGCTAACATTACTAAAATAAATAGCTTAAAAGTTCAGGTTTTGGTGTCACAGGATTAAAGAATGTCTCTGACTAAATGAGGTGAATTGTAAATAGAAAAACTGAGCCAGCGATAATGCAAAAGCACCATGATGTTACAATGGCAATGCCATAATGGCCTTTACTAAAGTGCATAAATTAACTTTTAAAAATTCAACAGTCCAGAGTCAATTATTCAGTTTCTACCACATGTACATTTGTTAATCTCATTTGTTTATCTGTAATATTTTTTCCATGTTTTGACCGTACAAATCATACAAATCTGTCACGCTTCTGTGTGTAGAACTATATATTTAAACCACTGATTGAGCCTATTATGAAAGCATTACTCAAGTGGCATTAACTATAGTTAAGGCTAAATAGTTATTGTGATAAGGTATGTGAGTGATCATGATGTGTCAGAAGTCAGGCTTTTTTCTGAAAGAAACTACTACTTTAATTCAGCAAGGACGCATTGAATTGATCAAAAGGGACAGTAAAGACATTTATAATGCTACAAAAGAATTAATTTTCAAAGAAATTCCATTCTTTGTTCTTTTGAGCATTCTATTCATTAAATAATCCTGAAAAAAGTATCATGGTTGAAGTCTTCAACAATAATAATAAAAGGAAATGTTTCTTGAGCACCAATCATGTGACCCTGGAGATTGCAGTAATAGCTGCTGAAAATACAGCTTTGCCATCAAAGGTATACATTACATTTTAAAACATATTTAAATAGAAAACAGTCCTTTTAAATTGTAATCATATTTTACGATATTACTGTTTTATTTGATATTACTTTGTAAGGTAATAAGGTAATATTGATATTGATATTACCTTATTTTTGATCAAATAAATACAGCATCGGTGAGCATAAGAGGAAAAAAAAAATAGTACAAACCCAAAATCTTTTGAATGGTAGTGTACATGCCACATACATTATTGCATATTTTGCCTTTTTGTCTGGACGATTGAAGTTAAAAAACAAAACAAAACATTTTTACCTTTTTTTTTTCCTAGTGATGATCACAAGATAATCAGCACCTCAGAACAGTCAACTAGTCAGAATCAAGAATTCAGCAATGCTTTAATATCAAATATGAATTGTGTCAACGATCAAAGTACAATGGTATTAATCTAATCATCTGATTACCATCACAGTATAAAGGTTCCATTATTTTTATTTATGTATTTTTAATTGTATTTCATTTTAATATTTTTTTAAGGGAGATTTTTTTTTCCTTAATGCAAAATTATTATTATATTAATATTAACTACTTAATATTAATTTTAATTTTGTATTATTATTATCAATATTATTATCATAACATACTAAATAAGTTTACCCAGACATATGGGTAAAATACACATGTAGATGCAACAAAAGAAAGAAAAAGTGAGTGAAAGCTGTAGTGAAGACTGCTGTAACGGCAGTCTGCTTGTGGTCAGGCATAAGGCTTCATGTGGGAATAAGAGAGAGATAAATGAATAGGGGACAGCGACAAGGGCAAAGCTCAAAGGAGAGCAGCATGAGACGAGTGGAGCATTTCAGCACGGCCTGCTTCTCATTAACATTCCTCTACATTTAGAAGAGCAGAGAGAAAGCCACACACACACACACACACACACACACACACACAATCACCCCTATCATCATCACATCTGACCTCGTTTTATACAACTTAGCCTCAACAGCTTAGCCAGTTTGAAGCAAGAGGGGGGAAAAAACTAATCGTAATCTGAAAGCTCTACCAATTTATTCCTGGAACTGATTCATTAAAAATATGTCAACATTTCTTAATTAATCCCTCAGATATGTCAGATTCAGATGTTTACACACAAGCAAAATATCTAGAAGCAAAATTCCACAAATGAATAGTCGGGTATTACTGTAAGAGCAAAAGCCCTGGTCTGTTTAATGAGAGCAATCAAAATACTAAACACACCACACGGCATTGAGTCTTATGATTCTAGTCCAGACATTTTGGTGTTTGTGGTGTGGCTGGAAAAGGATGAAGGTTTTGTAAGGTTTAATTGCTGGCTATGTGTTGCTGCATATAACCAATTTAAAACTTGTTCTGGAAAGTATGGGTGTTCTGTAAGTGTCTGTGAGCATCCCTGAAAACAGATGACTGCCTGTGTCCATCGCAGAGGGTGTGCATCTTCATTAATGTCCAATCAAAATCCAATTACAGCCCCTATCGGTGCAAATTAAAGCCGTTTGCTTTAAAATGCTACTGCGGGCTGAAATATTTCCAATCACTGCAACACTTGATTATCACTCTGTCAGGATCAGCCTTTGGAAAATTAAGTATGGCATGTTAGGGGTTTATAAATTCCCCCGCCCGTTTTGCCTGTGGCCTATATACTATAAACTGTGTGAGAACACAAACTGCAGCAAACATGGCAAAATAAATAAATAAATAAATAAAAATAAATAAATAAAGAGTCCGACATCTGGCACAAGGACATGCCCATTAACTAGATGTCCCCTGAGTGATGTCATCCAGTGCCCTCAGCAAGGCCATAGTTCTCACGGGCAATGAGAGCACATTCCCTTAGTTCAGATCAGGTCTAGAAGGGTCAGATAAGTATGAATGAAAGTCTGCTAATACTGGAAAATAAATAAATGCATACATACATAAATACATACATACATATATACATATATACAGTGGGTATAGAAAATAATCACCCCTATAAAATAATCACATTTTGTTGCAAATCAGGAGATGGATACAAAAAAATAAAATAAAAT